CTTCCCCTGCTTGTGTTCCCTCTCTCGCTGTCTCTCTCTGTCAAATAAATAAAATATTTAAAAAAAAAACTTAGAAAGTAAAGAGGGAGGGTTTTTAAAGAATGTCTGACTACCGTTTGGAAATCTGAGGAATTAGTGCCGCATTTGTGGGCTGCTCACTGGTTCTTTATCATTTGGTAGCAATCAGCCAGTATTTTGTTTGCAGTCTTTGTGTTATGAAGGGAGTTCCTTGGTCTCACCAGAGTGCTTTAGGCTTACCCACCAGTTTGCAAATCAGTGTTGTTCACGGGTTGCAAGAGGGACCTGCTGAAAGAATTCATTTTCCTTTAGAAATGTGTCATTCTTTCTGGAAAAATAATCAAAGCAGTATCATTTGCTGGTGGAGAGTCAGGAGCATCATCTTTGCCATGCCTTGTTTTGCCAACCCGAGGCCAAGCTCAGTCGGGGCTTCATGGAGCTTGAGCATGAGGGCCGTAAGATGCCTACACAATTTGCCAGGCGTTACAGTTTTTGCTATCCCATCGATTGCCTTTTCTGCCTATGGAAAAAATAGAGTAAAATGTATTTATAAGGGATCTGGAAGTTCTAACATGGAAAATACCACTTGATAAATGCAAGCAGCAGACTGCTTACACAAAGCTTATAAATAAGAATTGAGTATAAATTATGAGCCTTGCTCCAGGCTCCCAGTGCTGGTAGATAGTCATTGATAAAACAAAAATAAGACCTGTTTTCATTTAGAATTTAGGCTGGTCTGTGCATGGTCATTTATTTTCCACCCCCGTAGCACATGCAGCCTTGTTCTTTGTCTTTCAGTGGCGACTCGAGGCAGTATCCTCTACTTCCTCATCACTGAGATGCGCTTGGTTAATGACATGTATCAGACTTCGCTCCGCCAGTTTCTTGGCTTGTTTGACCTTTCCTTAGCCAGGTATGTCCGTACTCAGGAAGCCAAGCTGAATTTCCTATCTGTGGGCTAGAATGATGACATTATATTTATAACTTCTTTTCCTTTTGCTGCTGAGTCTTTTTTTAAAAATCTCAACTTAGTGTAATTACCGGCGTATTAACACATCATTCTCATTTGTCCTTTTACGCTCAGAGACAGCTCTACCAACTCTTCATCCATGGATTTATTCCTTGGATTTCATGTATTTCTGTTAAACAAGAAAATTCTCAAGATGTTGTTGTGAGTGGTAATACCCTGCTGGTAAAATTGATTTAGACAACACTGAGGATTCTGTTATGTTATTTTGTGTTCTGAGAATGCTGGTTATTTTAGATTTAGGATGCTTATTCTTATGCGTAAAAAAGAACTGGCCCTCCAAAGTTACCTATTCTCCAGTAAAGATGTTTTTATGGGCAATGGAAAAGGGGAGTGGGATAAGCCCGATTTAAATGTTCTCTCCTCCAGGTCTGTCAAGAGCCCAATTACGAGCAAGAGGATTGCTAATATCATTGAGCATATGACTTATGAGGTTTATAAGTATGCAGCCCGGGGCTTGTATGAGGAACACAAGTTCCTGTTCACCTTGCTGCTTACCCTGAAGATCGACATCCAGAGGAGCCGAGTCAAGCATGAAGAGTTTCTCACCCTTATTAAAGGTCAGTATAATAGTAGAAAGCACTGTACACAGGTCCAGATGTAGGAATTACTTGAAGGTGCTGTGCAGTACTTTTTTTTCTGGCTCTAACAGTTTCCTTGCATTACATTGAAGATTGCATATATGTGAAATGTTTTATTTGTTCATTTATTGCATGAATATTTATTGAGAGCCTACTGTGTGCTGAGGCACAGACTAGACACTTGGGGCTCAAAATAAAACAGTAAATTATGTAGTATGTGAGAAGCTAGTAGGCACTATGGGAAAAGACAGAGCAGGATAAGGGAGATGGGGAGTTAACAGCGTGTGCAGAGTTGGCGGGGGCAGTTAAAATTTTAAATGGAATATTTAGTGGGAAACCTAATAGGGTAGGCCTCCCTGAGAGATGGACAGGTGAATAAAGGCCTGGAGGGGCAGGGGGCACTGGCCCTGGGGACAGGCAGAGGGGGAGTGTCAAAGGAAGAGGAGATGGCATCAAGGTGCTGGTGGGGGCAAGCCTGGTATGACAGGAAATCTCCATCAGCTGGAGGACCAGTCAGTGAGACCACGAATCAGTACTATTTGAAGGGCTCAGTGAAGAAGTCACCCCTACATCTACCTAAGGGGTGTCTCCCTAATTCATTCATCATCCACAAGCTCTGATTTAGAAAACTTGGAAAATAAAGAGACCCAAGGAGCAAGAGTTCAAGGGTTAGAGACAAAGAATAAAGAGAGAGAGAGAAAGAGAAAAGTGTCTGTAAATCATACATTTCTAAGTTCAAGTCTAACCAAATGAGTCTTTGTTGTTTCTGTAAGAGATGTGTGCAAATGCATATTTATATGAACACCAACACGCATTTGTTCACATAGGACTACGGGCTTACGCCCCCCAGGGCAAGCACGTGCATAGCCACACCCCTTCCCTCCTGCCCCTTCAGGGTCCTCTTCAAGTTCCTCAGCAAATCTACTCTCCAGGTGAACATGAAAATCTCTCCCCACCCACTGTAGATAAAATTATGTCTCATCTATAAAGTTAAACCTTTGCTTAGAAAGATATGGTAGATAAAGCCATTTAGACCCCAGCATCATTTCTACAATTACTTTAAATATTTTGTTGTCCAGACATTCAAGAATGTGACAGCAAATGTATTTCCTAGCCTCCCCTGGGCTGTATTGTGCGGTGGCACAAGGGACCTGCCTGTGAGCAATGCTTCAACAGATACAGAATAAATATCCATGGGGTGAGCTCCACAATCGCCCTGCCCGTGGCTCCAGCCTCTGTCATACCAGGCTTGCCCCCACCAGCACCTTGATGCCATGAAATGTGTCCAGGTCTGGTTTAAATACTGGGAAATATGTTGCCATTTGGCGTGGTGATAGAAGACGTGGGATTTAGAGTTAGGATGACTGTAAGTGAAAATAGTGGTTTTGCCAATTTCTTGTCGAGTGTCTCGAGCAAGTTCTTCAAACTTTTCAGGCTCCAGCCTCCTGTGCTATAAAACAAGGATGGTCAAATCTACATCATCGGATTATCGAGAAGTCACACAATTTGTGTAAACGCTGGTACATAGGATATGTTCAGTAAAGGATAGGCATTGTTATATTATCTTTAGTATTTTAGTTTGTTTTGATTAATCTGAGGCTCGCATAGGCTGGACTGTTTTTTGTGGGCTTTTGGCATTCAATAGTTTTTTAATGCTGCTTTATGAAACAGAGTGTCGGAGGGAGCTTTGCAAGGCAGTGATGTTGTAAGGTTGCTCATTGCTGGTGATTTTGCTGAGAGCTACCCAGTGGGTGAATTCCCTCTGCAAGGACTTTAAAATCACTTGTTTGCAAATGTTATTTAGAGAGCAACAGTGTTTGGATACTGGTCTTTTAATTTGCTCATCTCTAAGATGGAACAGGATCAGCCCAGATGACTTTCTGAATCTTCTTTAGCTATACCACTTAATAATTGTGTGGTATCACTTGTAGAAATTTTTCATTGTAAGAACATATCATTTTTACAAAGTATTACAGTTCAAATTCAAACTTACCTTTTCCCAATGTAAGGGTTTACAGAATGAAGGCAATGGCATAACTCTCAATCACCTTGAGAATTTATTTTGAATTATGCCTATTCCAACTGTTCATTCATCAGAGGTACATATTATCCAGGAATATGTCTGCCCTCAACCCATTACCATCATCCTCTGTGGCCCATTGTACACTTTTGAGGTAGGCAAGAGATTCGTGCCACAGTTACCCTCTACTAAATGATGAATAATGCTTTCGTTGCAAGGAACACCCTTTCCTTCCTATAAATAGTTTCTCCCTAACTCTCTGGCGAATATCTTATTCTTTTGAGTTTGTTGGAAAATGGACAGTTTCCATGGAAATTGGTAGGACATTTTTCAACACAATGCCATTGTCCTCAGGTCTTTAACTGCTCTCTGCCGTTAAAGCAATCTGTTTTGATTTGGTGACTTAATGATCTTCTCAAAACTGCTTCAAGGCCATGTTTACTTTGCTGGAAATATACTAAGATGGATTTGGCCAAAAGATAGCAATTTAGTGGGGTCCATGGCACCTGGGTAAAGTAGAGATTGGTTCAATAAATATCTTGAGTATTATTATTTGTTCATGACCTGCTCTGTTCAAAAAAGGATTTTAAAGGTGGCCAAATGAATTGGTTATATCCTTTTAAGAATTATGCTTAGAGTGTATTTTCCTTGAAACATTTTAATAGATGGCATTTATTAAACAGTATATTTCATCCTATAAAGAATTTCTACTCTTCCTTTGACTTAAAATTTGATTGTTTACACATTTAGTTCTTCTGAGGTGGGCAACAATAACATTTTAAGGTATTGTTTATTTTTTGGTGCTGTGTGTTATGTGAATTACGTGAGCTTAGGCAGATCATCAGCAGCAAGGGAAGAGTCACTACCCAATGGGGAAATGTTTGCTGTGGTTAGATTGGCCAAAAATAAATGAGATAGCACAGGATCCTTGGGTGTGCTCAAAATGGAAATAAATAGTATACTGATTTATAGAAGAGAACCCTTTATTTTTTTTTAAATTTTATTACGTTATGTTAGTCACCATACAATACATCATTGGTTTTTGATGT